TTAGTTTTTTATCTTATTATTCAGTATATTTCTCATTTTAGTGGTGGAGGGAGAGGGCTGTTAATAAAAGAATATGCGTGCATATGTTGTGAATGCGACGCATTTTTCTGCTTTTGTTCAAAACACGCTGTTCATGATGTTAACCAGTTGATATTATAATTATCATTCATTACATTTGCATTCTTTTTTCCAGAAGCATGATAACTCTGCCGCCGGACGATACTGAGGAAGGTGACGCTGTTGAAGCTGTTCCCGAAGCTGTTGAAGCTGTTGATGCTGTGGTCGAAGGAGAAGCTGTGGTTGAAGGAGAAGCTCCTGAACACGAAATGAAATTGGAGCTAGCGGGAAATTTACATGAGTAAGTTGTTTTGACTTAATAATTATTTATTTTTTTCATAGCCTTCATGTAACGTTTCCAGCTGAAGTCAGTGATGGTAGGGAGAAGAGATACTGCTTCTTCTGTGGAGCCATGGTCAACCGTAAGTTCCGAGTCTGTTACTCGAAACACGTGAAGAAAGGAACCTTAAAAGCATGGATATCCTTCATGTCCTGGTGAGTCAACACACAAATAAGTTTGTGCTGGACCAAACTTTATCATATTTACAGGTGGCGTGATCAGAAGAGGAATGGAAGTGTTGAAGGTTTTTTGGATGATTACCATAACCATCTGAAAAGGAATGGTGGATCAGAAGAAAGCTCTTCTACTGCTGGTGCATCTATAAGAAGTCTGAACCACGTGGTGATTTTGTTTTTAATTTAATGTATTTATAGCTTCTGTTGTAGGCCGGGGTTACAGCTGAAAAAAGAAGTAACCAATGCAGGCTGCTGGATGAACTGAACTATTTTATAGTTCCTAACCAGAGCTGTCATAGTTATCTGCAGAATCTGAAGGAGCTGAATGACGGAATGCCTCGTTCTGTGTTAACGAAAACAGTCTCATCACAAATTTATAATCTGTAGGTATGTGAAAACTTTTGCCACCAGGCAGAATTGAACTACCGACTTCTGCTTTACGAAACCAACGCTCTATATATTTTATATATTTATAGGTTTATGGAAAAAAATGAGATAAACAAAAAAAAAGATGAAAAAAAATAATCATCATCCTAGGAGACTCTTTACTACGTCCCCTCTTTTTTTCCAATCTTCTACCCGCTTCTTCTCGGCTAGCTGATCCTTGAGGGCCGTAATCTCCAGGTGAAGGTCCCTTAACACGTTTTCATCTTGGTGCAACACCATGTTGCGTAGTCCTTCTGCACTGGTCGGTAGGTCCCAGGCGGCCAGTTCCGGATTAATGTCCTCCACGTCACAAACTTTGGCTGCCCTCAGGCAGGCATCTTGCAGATCTTCCATCTGCCTGAGGAAGCCATCTTCCAAATTAACGGCTCTTCCTCGAACAAATGGTTCAGCCTCAAACGTTACGGTCTCGGCTAACCATTTCAGATGTCCGAGTTCGTGATGAACTCGGT